ATAGTTTCTAACATGGCATCAGAGCAATGTTCATGATTTGGTTTTTCGTCTCTCAAGCATCGAGCCTTTGTTTCTAATTTCTCTGATTCCAGTTTCTCTAATCGGTGAAGCTCTCAATCTGATTGCTACTCTCTGTCTAACCTTTCTTTCTAGTTTCTCTGATTAGTTTCAAGTTTTTCTGATCAGTGAAGCCCTCAATTTGATTGCGACTCTCTGTCTAACAGCTGCGGTACCCTCTCTGATGTTGTCGAGTCTGCGGCACCTTCTCTGATGTTGTCGAGTCATTGCCTCATATTCGTTCCGAAAATTTCAGTACCCTTTACCATTTCATGGACGTGTCTTTCGAAAATCTACCCCCTTATTTCAAAGCATCTTCCTCTAGTCGATGTCGTTTTCTCTAGTCCATGCCGTTTGCACGCTTGGAACACATCTCTCCAAATATAGAAGGCATCAAGTGGTCTTTCAGAGAGAGATGTGAGTCTGGTGATGTTGTTGCGGGTTATAGCTTAGGGCATTAGTGATGCATGAGTTGTAGAGAGAAAGATTGTGGAGAGAGTAAAAGGTTGTACGCTTGGAACACATCTCTCCAAAAATAGAAGGCATCAGGTGGTCTTTCAGAGAGAGTTGTGAGTCTGGTGATGTGGTTGCGGGTTATAGCTTAGGGCATTAGTGAGGCATGAGTTGTAGAGAGAGATTGTGGAGAGAGTAAAAGGTTGTTTTTTTTGGGATTGTAGAGAAAGAGTAAAAGGTTTTTTTTATTTTATGTTATTTTTTTGTTAATAAATTAGAGAGCATACAAGTTGATTTGAACTCTTCACATTGCACAGCTCAGCACTCAAGCTTGAAATGAGATCGAGACCCAAAATTCATGCTGCTGCCTGCTGTGTGATTGCCTCCTGCTGGGATTGCAATAGAGAGAGAGAGAGAGAGAGAGAGAGAGAGAGAGAGATAGAGAGAGAGAGAGAGAGAGTTGCAACGCACCAGAGATTGTAGTATGGAGAGATCTGTAGTGATATGCTCAAGATAAGCCATGCATTAGCCATTCGGGGCAATTTGAGGAGCACTATTGCGGGAAGCTCTCAATCCTCATGGGAGCAAGTTGCTTGGATCTGTGCTAACTAAAGATGGCAGTGTTTCAAAGGTTTTGGATTTTTTTTTTATTTCTATTGGCTCTTCCAAGTGCCTCATGCCCGATGATTGAATTTTTCGATCCTAGTTGATGATCAACTTTCTGTTACTTGGTCATATTTAATGATTGAGTTTTTCATTACTCAATCCTATTGGATGATGGAGTTTTTTGTTACTCCATCCTGTGTGATGATCGAGTTTTTTCGTTACTCCATCCTGGATGTTTCGAATGCCTGATTATCTACTGTTGATCGAATTTTTCGTTACTCGATCCCGGATGTTCTTAAGATCGTCTGTTCCTGAGTCTCGTTGATCCACCATTGCAATATGTGCGTGTTGTTCAAGCAATCTAAGCAATTTTAAAATCACTACTCAAAGGAGCTCTACTCGTTTTTGGCAACTTAGTATTATTCAAACTCCAGCTACTTTGTGTCAAAGTTTCTTGACTACTTTGTGTCAAAGTATCTTGAGTTTGAGGGGAGTGTTAATGTATAGATATCCCATGTTAATATTGATATACATCATTATTGATACATATCAGTATGAATATAAATATCTCGTGTTAGTATTGATATACGTCATTATCGATACATATCAGTATAGATATGTATTTATATGGGTATATATCTCTTGATAAGACTAGGTGTCCAGACAAGATTAGTTAGTAATTATCAATAAATGTTGGTGTCTATACTGTTTATTTAGAACTGTTACTAGCCATATATTTATATGGGGTCTTGTATATTCTTTATTAATCAATTTAATAGAGGTCTCTGCAGTGTTCTAAAATAATCTTCCATGGGTGCCTAAGGCCCAAATATACAAAAATACAGTTTCTAACAATCTAGCTAAGGGATTTCTTTGACATCCATAACCCATCCTGATGCGGGGTAATTAAATGGGGATGATGAGCCCCTATCCTTTTTTGAAATCATTTTGTGGTTTTTTAAATGGAAACCTTGACCTTAGCTGGGGCACAAGTGGTGCGACCACCACAGCCCCAACCCCATTTTCGAAAAAAGTGGTAAGTCAATGGGGATTTGGGCCCCTATCCTTTTAGTGAGAATAGAGTTAAAGACCTCACCATGGAGCTCGATAATACTACCGCCAAGATCCCTTTCCTAGCATAAATTGTACTAAGGACCATACCTATAATACACTACAGTCCCATACTCCATACAACCCATTAGGTCCCATGATTAACCAAACTCCTAGTTAATTATTCCTCATCACACCTTAGTCAACCCTGAACACTCTCATAGAACCTTAAAACCTGGCTAAATTAGCTTGGCCCACTAGTTAGCCTGCTTACTTAGGATAATCACCCCTCAAAATATACGTAATTGGCTAAACCTATTGGTGAAAGTTTCTAAAATAGGCCTAAACCCTAGACTAGTAGCCCCTAATCCACTTTTGACCGACCTTGACCAATCCAAAATCCTTATTGACGCATGAATTATAAAAAAAATGAAAAATATGTATATTCTTTTAAATGGGTCATCAAATCCCTTAGGGCTAGTTTGGATGTAAAAAAAAAATGCTAAGTTTTTTCTACCTCAATTGTAAAACATTATTCTTATTTTATTATGTTGGTAAATTGTTTGGATGTCTAATTTCATTGATATGTCGAAAAAAACCGCCTACCCCATCTTCTACTACTGATGATTTTCCAAGACAAGAGACGGGTCCAGAGTTCTTTTTTGGTAGAAAGAGAAAAAGAAGTGAGGGAAATTGAAGCAGAAGAAGAAAGCGGTTGCAGAGAATTGGGGGGAAGAGTTGCAGGCCTTGCAGCAAAGGCTGCATTATCTTTCTCCCACTCTCGAGACAAGATCCTCCCTCTCACACCACTTTCTCTCGCCTCTTTCCTTCACACACAGTGAAAGTCACAGTGTTAATCCAACACCCATTCTCTCTGTGCTATCTCTACGACTCTCTCTCTCTAAGTCTCTAGGAGGCAACAATGGCGTCACTCACCACCCCTCACTCTCTCCTCCTCCAAAAACCCACCCAATATCTCAGCACTCTTTCTCTCTCTAAAAGATCTTCCTACTCTTTCAATGGTTGTTCCTATGCGAAAACCCAGAAAGCCCTTTCCATAACCTGCATTGTCATTTCCCCATCTTCTCTCTCTACCCCACTTGAGCTTTCCAAACCCCACAAGAAAGAAAGGGTCTTCAACTTCGCTGCAGAGCCTGCAACTCTTCCCTCCAATGTTCTGAAGAAGGCCCAATTTGAGTTCTATATATGCGGAAACTCGGGCATGAGTGCAATGGAGATGAGCCATAGAGGTAAGGATTTCTTCTCCATTAGTCAAACAGCGGAATTAGATCTTGAAAATACCAGAGAACTATGAAGTTTTGTTCTTACACGGTGGAGCAACCAGCCAATTCTCTGCAATCCCATTGAATCTCTACAAACCTAGCGACAGAGGGGCAAAAGCTTTGTGATTGTCAAAGGCTTCAGCATCATCCAAATCTAGACAGAGAAACAAGGAAAAGGTTTCACCATCATCCAAATCTAGAGAGAGAAACAGGGAAAGGGAGAAGGCCAAAGGACGAGAGAACTAGTAGAGAGAGAAAGTTTCTCAGTTGATGTTGCGTTTCTAGAGAGCTTTGGGTTACAGGGAGGGGGAGGAGAGGGCATAGGAGAGAGAAGGCTGCCGTTTTGAACGGGTGAAAGAAGGCCACATTTTCATCCGAATTTTTTCTTAATCGTATCTCTTAATACTACAGATTTTTTTTATTTCAATCTAAATATATGCGGAAATCTTGTGGTTGACGAAACGGGTCAAATCTATTTCACAAGATTTTTATATTTCAATCCATAAATATTTTAATTTTGGATACATCCAAAGTGGCCCTTAGTAATTCCCGTAACCCCCTCATTAATATCCAATGGCCATATTCAGGTGTGTGGGGTTCAGTGGGCCTGATGGACCACACAAACCATGTGTGATTGCATTGAGATCAATGGCTCCGATTGGGCCATCACCTCTCCAAAAAAAAAACTAGATATGTTCTAACATGATCGACCGGTTCTATTAGAGAGCCGTCGGTTCAAGGGGTGAGTTGGCCGGTTGCCAATATATGACAGGAACAGCATCTGCTGTAACGATTTTTTATCCAGTTCGGACGATTCCAATCCAGATCAACGTTTTTTAAAGCCTTGCTTCGATTTATTGGCTTTCCATTCTAAGTAACCTCAATCTTTTTCATATTTTTTTTTATTGGTTATTTATTTTTAAATTCATTATTCTCCATTCTTTCAAATATTTGTTTTCAAAAGTGACCTACGATCACTGTCTAGGTGGTGTGTTGGGTACCCCGACCTATTTTTGGTTGAGCCCTTCTTTATTTTAAAGTCCTGGAGAGATCTAGGGTTTCTTTCGACTCTTCTCTGCTCTGTTTGATCTGAGCCGGATCCCCGGTCTTGAACCGCATGCCCTCCTAAACAAGAGGTAGCTTCTCCGGGGACCCGCCAGCCGCCCTAGGACGGGTAGCGGCAGGAAGTATCCCTACAAGGGTAAAGACAGGACTTTATAGGAATTCTTGCAATGTACAGTAACGTTAATACAAATACTTTTCATATACCATATATTCAATCTAACTTTCTGTCCTCCCCAAATTGTACTAGTTCTTAACTTCACACCATGAACCTAAAATCCAATCTAACAATGACTCCTCCAAAAAAAACAAAAAAGATTCAAAGTTTATCAAAGATATTCTGATGATTGAGTAAGTTGCTATTAGTACCAAGGTCAAATATAATTTCTAACCAGAAAAAAATAGAAAATGCAACAACTAATGGTTATACATGAAAAAACAATACTGAAAATACCATCATAATCAGCATTATCCGAACCTTATCCCAATGCCACCACAATCATAGTGAAAAATAAACACACAAACCTAAGTATTATTAATTCCATTCCATGAGTTCCCTAGTCCATGCAACAACGATAGAGAACATACTTCTCCATTTGTTTCCCACACTCTGTGCAAACCACCTTCTCTTGGACAGGACCAGTGGTGTCAGGAAGAACAAGGTGAGTACAGTGCTCTGCTTTATGGTGTTGCAAAAGAGCATCTCGGAGAGCTGGAACGAAAGCGTCCACGCCTGTAACATTAGCCCTCCATGTATCGAAATGTGATAAACATTCCATTAATTTCTTTCCTGGAGTCTTCACCATGTCTGTAGAGCCTGTACTCATAAGGGCCCAACCGTCCCCATTCCCATCGAAGCTAAGCATGGACATGATTTCTTGGACTATGGGATCATTCTCGATGGTACTACCATGATGCCTCTTGGAGTGCCACATACTCTGTATGCGTACCCAAAAGTAAGCTATCTTGTTGTCTGACCAATATACACTGAGGTTCTCCTGGATTATCGTACTGATTATTTTCCTTATCCTTTTTCTTGGATTGCTGCTGCCCACATACACCATTTCGATCGGGACACGAGTTTCTTGTATGATGCGTTTTGTTGAAGTGGTGAATGCCCGAATCCATTCGATGTCCTCGCCACCATACAAGCAAATAATTCTTGGTTCCTTCACCTGTAGTTATATAAATAGTTAGCAAATCCTGGAATTCCAGTGGGAGTCTACTTATCTGATAGTTGATTCACACATGCACAAACACAAAAACACACACACAAACGAGGATTTTTCTCAAAGATATGAAAAGATTCAATCTGAAATGTACATCAAAACTCCTAGGAAAATGTTGATACTTGTATGAAAGTTAAAAACAAGTTGTATTATCCTATTTGTGTTAAAAATAAGTGGGACAAATATTTATAGCATGAGTTAAAATAAAAATAAAAAAAATACTTTCCTAAAAATATGCATTATGCATTATTCCAAAATTTGCCCTAATTTCCCAAAGAAAGTTTACCACTAGAAAATATAGAGGTTCTTACCCATGACAGTATTAAGGGATCAATATCATCACTAAAAACTCCAATCTCCATGTCTCTTCCTTCCAAAGAGACTCCTCTCTAGTAGATGAGAAAGGGTAAGCTGTTGCTCCCCAAATCAATATCATGTGGAGTGCATTAGGGCACACAACCCTTCCTTGGTTGTCTAAGACCACTAGCGATGGATTCTTCTCAAAATGCCATGCTTCCTTAATATATCTCCACACCACTGGTTCGAGTAAAGAAGGGTGATGCAGCGAATACCAAGGCATTTCGGCTGCCAAACGATTGAATGTGTTCTCGTTTGCTTCATTCCATGGAGCTGTTCTATCCACTATAGGGACCCAAACTACCTCATAAGGCCTCTCTAACTTGCTGCGGTCTGTGTCCTTGTAAATGTTCATGAGAACTTGTACTTCATCATGGGCTATCTCCAGGTCTGAGAGAGAGATAATCACCAACTTCTCTCTCAACACATCCACACCTACCTGTATTGAATTTTGGTGCTTGCTCATCAAATATGTTTCACTATGATCATTGAAACTAAACTAACGACCTAAAAATCATATTTAGTAAAGGGTGCAGTTTGTATATGGCATTATTGAGATCAATTTAATGAAATAAACTCTAACCCAAGAACCAAAAAAACAAATATTGATTCAACCAAACCTTTGTTTGTGAGGTGCGATCCCGAAGGGGTAACTCGTCCCTTGCACAAAACAAGGCGTGGAGGATCTTTTGGTTGTCCGTGTGGTTTGTGTCGAAAAGATTTGCGAGGGAATGATATGCTTCCAAATTTCCCCTTTCATCTGTAATTCTCTTTAATTAGTCTTATATTTGATATAGTTATAAGAGAGATTAGTTGTTAGATGAATTGCCTAGTTAAGGCAACCTAGATGAGGATGGTGATCATGATTCAGAAATTTCGACTCAACAGGAATCGGTGTAGCTAAGATTGACTCACTGAGACTCGGATTTGAGTCTCAGATAAGTTTGTTGGCTTCGCAAGCCTCATATAGGTTCATCTTTTTGGCCCCTTTGTCATTCTGAAATTAGATCAATCACATTTAAAAGTAAATATACATTGTGATGACAATGTTTTAACTTAAATGCTATTTTCTTGTCCCTGATCAGTGTTCACATTGTAAGCCAAAAAGCAAATTAGACATTACCTTGTTCATTGAACTTAATACTGACCTACATGCTGGTGGCAGTGCTTCAATTGCTTTGTCAGATGACCATAAATGTTGTTGGCCGTATGTGCCAAGCTCCATAGTTCCAAAGTCTCCACAGTCGAAACTCCATAACTAAACCGAGTGGATTAAGTTGAGAGAGAGAGAGATGAACATACATGACCACTAATTTACACATAAAATCACAAGTCCTTTAACACATTATTGTGTGTGTCTATATGTGTGAGAGAAAGAGAGATGAACATACACGTCCTCTCATTGCCCATAAAATCAAAAATTCTTTTAACGCATTATTGATAGCAATAAGGTTGCCAAGCCAGTAAACAAACATTTTTTGTCCACTCATTGCCTATAAAATCAAAAATTCTTTTAACGCATTATTGATAGCAATAAGGTTGCCAAGCCAGTAAACAAACATTTTAAGTCGAGATATCAGTTTTAGTTACTATCAAGAACCATGGATAACCAATAAATTAAGCGAAAATTATTAAACCCCCTCCCCCATTGGATGTTCTCCTCATAATGCCCCATATTAAAAAGTTTTTCTCACCCATTAACCCAACCGACTTTTTTCTCTCATTGACCCCAAGTTACTTTTCAATTTTATTTATGATGAAAATGCGCTAATTTCTATCTTTTTCTCATTTTTTTATCTCTCTAAGCTTACATTCCCATTCATATTTAGAACTCTCTAAAATTGTAATTGAGATAGTTTCTCTCTCTAGAAAAAATAATGGGGTTTGGGATCTAATAGAGAGAGAAAAAATGGTAAAGAAAGAGAGAGAAACTGACAAACCCATTTATATTTTTAAATAGAAAAACCAACAAATTTATTCATGCTTTTAGTGAGAAACTAACATACTTATTCACATGATTAGAGAGAGAAACCAACAAACCATTTATAGTTTCAGAGAGAAAATGAATATGAATAGAAGGTAGGCTTAAAGAGTGGAAAGAGAGTGAAATATGAACTTTTATTTAGACTTTTGCATGATTCATTAATAGGGGCATTCTCATCATAAATTAATTGTACTCAATGAAGTTTAGCAAGACATTAGGACACTAACATGGGTTTTGCACTTACTTCTGTCCCCTCCCTATCAGGCCAATGATATGCGCTGCGCAGGCCACCGCACTTCTTATGATCCAATACACCGCAGAAGGAATGTGCATCATGGCCAAAGTCCTTGCCAGAGTATAAGAGTTGATATACTCCTCAGGCAAATCCTTAAACTCTATGATGCATTTGGTCACATCAAGCATCGCCTTAACCAAGGAAACGAGAGCCTCAAATCGTGGCTCCGATGTCTCGGCGTGTTCGTGTATGTCTGAAAATTTCTTAACCAACAAAATTGATTTGGCAAGAGGATTTATAATGGACAATTGTGCAATGAGCCAGAATTCTCCATAGCTCAAAGCAAATGCAGCTATTACTAAGACCACCTTTGCTTCCCATGAATAATTGCTTAGTGAGTTAAACAATGTCAATGCAGTTGCATGTGCATCCCCATCTCTTGAGCACTCGCACGATACCTGTAAATTTATGGTCTAAGCTTCCAATGAAATGAATGATACTGATGATCTTTTCAAAGCTTAATAAAGGGCAGATGAATGTTTGCCAACTTTTATATGTATGCATGTGTGTATGTATGCATGCATGTATTCATATGTGCATGCTTGAATGCAATTATAAATATATGCATATGCGGGAAGTTTTGATGGTTCCATTGGAGCGAATTGCAGTTCTGATCCCATTGGATCTCAATCTTCCTATGAAATGTATGACAGACATGATCTGTTCAAAAAGTCACTTAAGTTAACACTAAAACAAATGGATCATTTATTTGTGCACGTATCCTATGATTTGAATGTCCATTGTATTCACACTTCATTGCTTCCTTTCTTTTGTTATTATTACTACTACTGCTAGTATTATTTTTATCATCACCATTATTATAATTATTATTGGTTATGTTAGGGTAATCATACATAAAAATATTTTCTTAATGTACTTAACTTTTTTATACACTCATATACCGTTGTTTCATAATACAAAATTTTTTGAGTAAAGGTATTTTTGGTCATTAAGAGGGACATAATAAATACTTTTATAAGAAACTAATTGTATTTATTAGTAGTTACTAACCAATCATTGCTCCATGTGGGTGATGTCACGATAATATCATCATCCACTATAGTTAAAATATCTTTCTTGCTGTCAAGAATTTCAATGTTACTATTAATTAATTACCTAAAATACCTTTAAATAAAAAAAAATAATGCATGGTGGGATAAGGGTATCAAGTATCAAAAAATGTTGAGTACATTAAGAAAAGAGAAATGACCGTGTGAGTCCCTCCTACACTCATGTGTGTAGGACCCCAAAGGATCACCATTAAATTTGGCTCATATATCTAGAAAAGTCAAATCCCATACCCATGTGATAACTTTTCTAGAGATCTGTGCCAAATTTAATGGTGATCCTTTGGCGCCCTATACACATAGGTGTAGGAGGGTCCCATAAGTTCATTACTCTTAAGAAAATACTCATATGTATGAATACCCTAATATAACTAACAACAAGAACAACAACAATAACACAAATAATAACAATAATAATTTTATTTATAATAATAATAATATATATATATATATATATATATATATATATATATATATATATATATATATATATATATATATATAAAGTATATATATATATATATATACTATATA